GCATGAAATAGAACAAGTTCACTGACCTAACCAACTGGACTAATCCACGTTTGCTACCTCAAATGTATTTTAAGACAAGAGAAAGGGATTATGACACAAAAGCTTTGTCTTAAACTCTGATAATAAACAACCTGTTTCCAATTGGGATTTAAGGGCTTCCTAGTTTTAGAGTGAGAAATAGCAGCTGAGCTTCTTCATGACCTCTTGAAGGGAGAAAACGACTTTATCTTGCATTTTTATCTAGATTTCATTTCCCATATTTTGGTTAGATCTTGATGAGGCTAATGGGTCTACTCAATTCAAATTTCAATCAAGCTGTCCATGTGGGCTTGATTAAATTGATCTTTGCACATCCAAATCTGTTTTTAAGAAAGAAAGAAAACATGTTTCTGCATTAAGTTTATTCATATTTGCACCATGATCTTTCTCAAATTTCATATCATATAGTTTGATCATGTTTAGACTAGCAGATTCAATCGATTCAATCAATCTGCAATAGCAAGAGAAAATATCAACGTAACATTAATAAATCTGCAATAACAAGGCCATGTTTCAGTTTTGTACAAGCAAACCCGACAATTCTACAATGAGAAGCAAAATATTAGTCTGACGCAAGGCAATAATACATCTTAGATTCACAGAAGTGGGCAATAACAAATCCTGTTGGAAAAGTAGGAGGGAGGGAGGTCTTTTATGATGCAGTATCATTAAATCTGCAAAAGCAAGAGCAAGAGCAAGGCCTAATACAAAATATATATTCGGCTTAAAGGAGCTGAGTCAATGGGGCGAAAATGAAATATACACAAACTACAAACTACAAACTAAAAGTAAACAAAAAAAATACTGAAAATGACATAAAATGGATGAGCCATAAAGTTTGAAAAGGGTAGATAGAGTCACATAAATTTCGACTAATCAAAATGACGGTAACAAAACAATTTAAGATATTGGATAGACAATAATATAAATATATTAGCAGTTGAGTGCATATGCAGTAGCAAAGCACCATCTACTGAATCGACCCAAAATGCGTTTTACTTCTTGTACCATCACAATGAATCCGTGGTCACTTGAACAAGTAATGCAAAGGGATGCTACAGAGGCACAGCGCAAATTGTGCAAAAATGCAAGTCACCACGAAGAACCAGTTTCAAGAAAAACATTCAAACTACAAAACTGAACACCAGTCACCAGGATGTGATCACCTACCGTTCATCTTTAGGCTGTGAATCTCAATACTAATGCTGTGATTCATGAAGCCAGATTTAGGAAGAAACATTTTCCTGAAACATAGATTACCAAGTTCATAGTACAACGTACTCAAAGTCAGTCATCATTGGCCTACAAGGTCATCTCATATATTTAACATGCACAATACTTGACCATTGAAATTTAACTTTATTATAAGTCAAAGTATCTTCAATAACTATGTGGAACAAATAAATTATCCTGTTAATTTCTATAGAACATATAAAAGAGAATTAACAGTGAAGACGCAATTGAAGCCCCTTATACACCCAATTGAAGCCCCCACTCTTACTCAAGTGAAAACACCACAAGCTTGTAGCATGGAGAGACACTTAGCATAACCATGATGTAGCATTGGCCAACTGAAAATCAGGACAGAAAAGTACTGGCATCTCAATCAATGACTTAATATCTAAGAATCAAGCAGCTGCTACCTGTTGTGTCATCTGAGGGGCTTCTGATGGTGATTGTTGTGATTCTATCCCTTGAGCAGATCCTGACAGAGGGTGCTGTGGTCCTAGGGTCTGAGAAGCTTCAGATGGTGGGTATGAAGCCGTCACGTGAGGGACTCCGGACGGCGGATGGTGTGGTACTGCTACATGGGGAGCCCCTGATGGGGGGTAATATTGCCCTGCCATTTGAGGGGGTTGAGCCGGATGGTGCTGGCTTGCTGCCATCTGTGGAGAACCTGTTGATGTTTGGTAAGTTCCTGCCATTTGATAAGGTCCAGATGGTGGCTGATACGGTCCAACCATTTGACGGGGTGCTGACGATGGGTGATGTTGTCCTGCCATTTGATAAGGTCCAGATGAGGGCTGATATGGTCCAGCCATTTGAGGGGGTGCTGACGATGGGTGATGTTGTCCTGCCATTTGAGAGGGTCCTGATGGAGGCTCCTGTTGTCCTGCCATTTGAGGCGACCTCATTGGCTGGAATTGCCGAGGTCGTGCCTGTGCTGGTGTGTATCCCCACTTACTCATATTTAATACTCTCTGAATCTCCTCACCACGCCCAGCTTTTCCAAAAACCTCATTTACAAATTGCTGCAATGCTGGAGGAACACCAATGCCATACCTCACCATTTCTTCCAGTAAATCACGGCTTGGGTCAAATGCATCTTCATTGCAGAGCCCCCTAATCACAACATCATAGAAACTGGCATCTGGTTTAGGATCTTTTTCTCCCAGTTTCTTCAAAATCTGTGCACAGTCCATTGCCTTCCCGTTCTTAATCAATTCATCAAACACCCTGTTACCAAGACTAGCAACCACTCGCAAACCAACCTCCGCCATTCTTCTAAATATCTTAAGAGCATCATCTATCCTCTCTACTTTCAAATATGCATCAATCAGAGTCCTATGAGTAGTGACATCCGGGGTCAACGCCTTTGAGGATAATTCTGCAAACAGTGTCTCAGCCTCCGATAACATCCCATTCTCACAGTACCTGGCAATGATATTATTATACCCTGCAACATCCATAGAAAAAGGTCTCGAATTCACCTTTGTACCCACCTTCTTAAAGGTGGCAAGCGCCTCATCAAACTTTCCAAGCCCAAAACACTCATTAACCATTATGTTAAATGTTTCCGAATTCACAGCCTGGATAGTTGGCGGGGTGTGATTATCCAACATCTGATCGAACAAAGCCCAGGCCTCCTTCTTCTTCCCATGCTTAAGCAACACCTCCAAAAGAACATTACCAGTTGCCGTGGTCATCCTAAACTGCCTATCTAGCTCGGACTTGTATGACTCCATTGCTTCCTTCTCTTTCCCCTTATTGAAAAACCAATCCATAAATGTCGCATTCACAACCCCATCGTACGCCAAACACCTATCTTTAAGCTCATCAAAAAGCTCAACAGCCTTGTCAAAATTCTCCAAATGCAAGAATCCATTAATCAAATTATTATACACACCAGAATCAGCGCCGAGGTTCTTATTCAACATCTCTCTCAACAAATCCACAGCCTCACCTATCCTACCGGCATCGACCAATCCTTTAGTCAAATGCCGGTATGTCACCTGCGAGGGACTAAAGGGGGCATTTGCAAGTATATGCCGATAAACCTCGAGGCCCACATCAACCCGGCCATCATCGCAGTGAGCATTAATCAAAATATTATAAGATACAACATTTGGAACAATGTTCGATTGGTTGTAGAAGAAGTGGAAGAGGGCAACAGCGTCATTGTACCTCTTGGCACGGTACATGGCAGCGACGATGGCGTTGCAGGTGAAGACGGTGGGGCGCGTATTGGAGAAGACCGAGTGGCGTGCAACGGCGGAGGCGGCGTCGAGGTCACCGGCGCGTATGAGCGACTGGACGCGATTGTGTAGGTTGAGGCGGTGGCCCACAAGGGCCGAGGTGGTGTCGGGGAGTCGAGGCGCGTTGGGGTCGCGTGGGGGAGGAGGGTGTGAGTCGCGCCTGAGGGCGTTGATCGGGGGCTCGATACGGAGGCGGCGCTTGCGGCGTCGGCGCTCAGCGGCGGCTTCTTCGGCGGAGGAGAAGGCAAAGGTGCGCGTGGCGGAGGTGGTATGATGGAGAGGAATGCTAGGGTTAGGGTTCTGGAGGGAGAGGGAGGCGAGGGATTGGGTTAGGGTTAGGGAAGGAGGGGTGGAGGGGCGGCGGAGAGAGCGGAGGAGGAGGCGATAGAGTGACATGGCTGTGAGACAGTGAGAGAGTGGTGGGAAATGCTTAAACCCTAGCGAATTGGAAATGAAGGTGAAGTGAAGGGAAGGAAGGCAGAGGGGTTTAGGTGGTTTTCTCTTCTGCTTTGCTGCTTGAGAGAAGGTTGTGTGTAAGTTTATTTATGTTTGGGCCAAACCAAACTGAAGGAAAATGGAACCTAGACATGTTGGGTTGGGTTAAAAACTTGCCCCTAATTTATCAAAATTTTTTATTTTGCTAAACCCTAATTTATCTAATTAAAATAAAATTTTATAAAATTAGAACTCATCCATAAGACGTTCTCCATAAGACTTTAAATTATAACCTTATAGAATTTTTTTAATAGGTATCGTACTCATCCATAAGACGTTCTCCAACTAAACAGAGACAAATAACTTTATAATTATTTGTTCTTGTGTCTCATAATTATATGGAAAGACGAGATTCGTAGCATCGTCTATGACTGCTGTTTATTGGTAACCAAATTTACAATATAATTATCCGAACTATAAAGAGTCCAATTTTCATGTTTTCCTTGTGCCAATCATGTTTCCCCCTTATTCTTCTGACATGTGTCCTCTTAACTAACAGAATGTTAACTCTGTTAAGTCTATCAATTTTTATTAAAATTTTATATAAATTTTTCGTGCGATGGATGGATTTAGCAGCTAAAATAAAAGGAGCACATGATCAAAAGCTTTGCGGATCAATGGAATGGTTACTAGATAGATATGCATGCTTGGAGTTGGCGACCTAAATATATACAAGGGAAGGTCATGTCTAAACTATCATCTCTCATCCCATCTCATGCTTCCAGAAATAAACTTACTCTTTCCAAATTATAGCTTCCTTGATATACAGAGTATATATAATCATACCATTTGGTTTTACACCCTATTTATGTTCTTTTTTTGTTTTGTTTATTTAAGTTTTAAGGAAACCAAAAGAACAATCAATGAGGATACACTTAAAAAGTTATAATCTTTTCTTTTGTGAGCTAAATGAAATGAAATAATAAAGCAAACCTTTTAAATGAGGCTAAAATGAAATGAAATGAAATAATGGTGTGCAGAAGCCAGCAGTACAAACAAAAATACTTCTACTTGTACCCAATTGTCGACTCTTCTTCTATGCACAATTGGTTAAATAGTCCAACATCAATTTATTTTTTACAACATCAAATCAAAAACCTTGTCAATCTAGCACAAGCTCATAGCAAAATTCATTGGATGTACAGTTTTATATGAGATGGCTACAAGATAAAGGCAGCACACAGTCACAGATACACGGGTTGTGGGCAAACTTCTCCTACGAGTTTCCATTTGGTGTCTCTCCTCCACTCCTTGCTGCTCTTTTCTGTAAGTCCGCATCAAAATGTTGAAAAGCCGCATCAAGAGCCTGCACTAAAATGGTCTTAGTACCATTTGACATTCTTATTCAAATACATTAATCCTTGCAATTAAACTGAAAATCAATGACAATATTGACCTGATGCATTGGACGAACGAGGAGGGAAACCTGGTGCCGGAAGTCCGATTGCTTTATCTCCTGGAAAATTTCATTTGATACATGAACTAAGTAAAATCCTCTTTTAAAACAATCAAAGACTGATTTTAATTGGGGATTTAACACATGAATTACCTATATTAAAAGTATAAAAGAGAGAGAAAATGTGTTTTTGACCAAAATGACATTTTCTGTTTTTCCTTAAAACAGAATTAAGGTGATGTTAGAATGCAAAGGTTGGAGCACTAACTGAGACTCTCTTAATAGACAAAACCATAAATAAATATACATTACACCAAGCCAGTTGTGTCTCAGTGCTATATCACGGTAATGGAGGATTCAACTTCAATAAGAAACATCTCTCTCCTCTCCAAACATTTCCATCCCTCACATCCCAATGAAGATCTTTAGTTCTGTTCACAGAAAAGCCCCAAGGAACTCTCGTAAAGGTATATGGCAACTGGACCTTAACTCAGGGTGACTCTATATTAGCCACGAGGAATGGTCCATATGGATAACCCGCTAAAGAAGGCCCAAGAGCACTAACTACTTGTGGGATGAAGGAACCCTAATACTAGTGGGCTGTTCTCAGCAGTTCTAGCTCAACATCAACAATAACCCTTTCAAGGAAGATAGATCAAAATCAGTTCATAGTTTTGAGCTTTTGTCAAGTATTTATATAAAACACAATATGGTGTTTCTTAGAAAATGCATGTGGGGGACTCAACTAGTATGTTAACAAAGCTTGGAAGCCAGTTAGATAAAGATAAACTAGCACAAATTATACCTCTAACTGTCGATAAATTTGTGACATGGCATCCTTCAGTCTGCCTACCTGCATGAGAATTTAATGAATCCACAAAAAATAATAATAATAATAATTTAAAAAAATCATGCTTAAGAAATTCAAACAGCTATGCTAATGAGTTATGATTTTCTTATCCTTATTTGAACAAACACGGCAAAATTCTCAAACACCCTTTGACCCTTCATCAACCTATTGGGTAAATAGGTTCCAGGCCAATTTGATTCAATCGTAGCCTGCTATATTATATTATATTAAAATATTCAAAAGATGATTCGGGCTTGTCCTCCCCTCAAAACGGGATCTTCCATAACAAGAATCCTCCTCATAAGTCCTAAGGTCAAAATCTTAAAAATCTCTAGCAATCATTTCATTTCACAACATATCACATAAAGGAACCCCATCTTGTGAGTTATAAAAACTAACCTTAGTAGATAGATATGTTGTCGTAATTGGATATGAAGACCAAAAGTGCCTCAGTAATTCTTGAATGGACATCCAGTGCTGGAATAAGAAACATATCCATAAAATCAAAATCTAAAGCCAAATTTGTCATACTTCCTCAACTCTAAGACAACAGAGGGAACACAATTAAGTTTTTCTATGCTATCTACAAAGCGGCTAGTAGTCTTTAAAAAAATAAACAAACAAGTTGTTATTCACTCACATGCAGAAGTTCCTCTTTCGTTTTGTTTGGCAAACTGTCTAGGACACTGTCCTGAGGATTCTTCCCAAGTTGATACTTCGTACTTGAAATATTCTGGGTCAGTCCATTAAGAACCTATACCACAGAAATGGGAGTAAAATTTTCTTGCCAGTTAAGTATACACGCTTATAAATATACATATCACATCTTGATGTGTCTTTGTGCTTTCTGGCATATCATATATTGAAAAAGACCTGGAATGAAGATATATACCGTAATAGCAATTTCTGGTGCAACTGTGGAATTTTTCAAACCAATGCTCTTAATTTTAGATATAGCCTCCCTCAAGGAGCCATATGCTTCCTCAGTAGTCAGGCTGCATTTTTTCTGTTCAGTTCCAGTACGTGAGTCATCCAAAGTTTTAAGTGCATTAACTTGTTGCGTGTCAAAGTAGTCTCGAGGATCCTGTTTCCAAAAACACATGAAACATCTAGAGTATCAGAAGAAAATAAAAAATAAAGTATGGATCTTCTGAATGAAAACTGTTAGCCTACAGTCAAAGTTAACCTTAATACATAATTGAGCAACAGGATGATCGTGATGTTCTTGAAGGTCCTCTATCTCCGTCATCCGAGTAATCCTATCAAGTCTATCCTGTTCAGCACTCTCATCAGACTCTGCAAAAATAACAGCAAAAATAAGCAAAGATGCTGTGCTACTATCAGAAATATTGAAGGGAGGAAAATCCCAATGGATGAACCAAAGGGCGAAACAAAGGACCATGCTAACCCCGTCTTGACTGCATAAGTGCCTCCGCAACAGTTCTTGGATCTTCTAAATCAACATCTGCAGTCAGGTTCACAAATCAAAGTTATCTACTAATTTACTGAAAATATAGTGACCTAAGAATCATACTTTCATGGTTTGTTATCTACATCAGATTAAAATAAATAATTTATTCTTATGGCATGTATTAATTAATGGAAGGAAAAGGAAATAGGTTCAAGAGAGATTCTAACCAACTGTTCTTCCTTGAAGAACAACAGCGCCTTGTCGGTTAAGGTCTTGTGATAAAGTCCTCCTGTATAGCTCATTCTGCAATTCCGTGACGTCCTTGCTTCCATCACGAAATATCCCATGATCCTGATTTTTAAAAACATTGCGAATAAGACACGATAAATGAATGCAGCTTTCCTGTATCCCTAGAGACGTTAAGTATTATAACAAAAAAAAAATTGTGATGGATCAAAAACATAAAAGAGCATTTAGAATATGACAATGTAAAATAGAGGAATATATGAGGAATATTCTGCAATTTACCATTTATAAGATTATGACCCAAATGCCAAATCACCTTAAACTTTCAGATATTAGACAAACTAGATGACTGCCTTCATGAAAACTTAGAAATTACTAAAATAAAAGGCTCAAGTGTTTATAGACAACATACTGGAAGATGGGTATAATCATCTCCTTGGTCAGCTTCCATATCTAAAGTTGGATCAACCCGTCGAATCTGCAAAGAAGACATGCCGATAAGGAGAAAAACAAATGTAACAGAAACATCCCAGGTAAATCAAGATTTAGAAGGGGAAGAAAATGATTTTCTAAATAGCACCTTCCGACGAGCTTCACTTGCCAATATAGCATCCTCCTTCAAAAAAATTGCCAGTTCCTCATCCTCAGCAGCTTCTGCTGCAGCTGCAACAGCATTCCTTGTACTGTGGAGGTATTCCGCTCGGAAATATTTTGTCCAGAAGTCTTTTTCTGTCATCTGAAATAAGAATAAAAAAAGAAAAAAAGCTAGAATCATGCTTTGAGAAATGTAAGAGAGCAAATAACAGACTACCCAATTCTCTGATTATTATCCTAGCCTCCAACAAAACTAAGGACACGGAAAACTGCCTGATTATGTAAAGTTTTTGTTTCAATATCCTCACTACCTTACTGGGAACCAGAGTAAGAAATGCCTGGTGAACAGCTGGTTTCAGGGCAAAAATCTGAAAAGCAATGTAACAATTAAGCATAAGAACCAAAGAAAGTATTCCCAAGATGGATCACTAGCTCTCATACAGAGTATTTGTAAACGTCAAAATGGAAGCTTTATGTTAAAGAAAACAAAGAAGTGCAAAATAAAAGAACCATACCTGATATTTAATCTCTGGAGTCAAATTAAAAGTAACCTTGTTCATCTGGATATTTCCGCCAAAAGAAAAAAAAAATCAGAACCACAATTAAATGAGGAAGAAAATGTTATCCATAACAAAAGGAATCCTTGTTTATCAAAAAATAGTTCTACTAAAAGCCACCAAGGAGATGCAACTCTCTATAAGGAACAAGTAATTGTTGACAAGAAGAAAACAAAGCACTCATTAATCAAGGAGAGAGAGAGAGAGAGAGAGAGAGAGAGAGAGAGAGAGAGAGGTTCTACCCGGCCATCAGTCATAGGTTTGGTGTCCAATATCATTGAACTTCTGAAACCAACCCGTTGCTTTGACTTTGTACGGCTATCTCCATCAAGCAACTTCTGCAAAATTGAAAGAGTAGAAATGTATCTATATCACACTACACACTTTCTGCTAAAAATAGTTTCCATTGTAAGCATAGCCCCAGAGAGGGGGGGAAAGATCCAACACAATGTGTACACTTATAGTTAAAATACAAAATTAAACACAGAACTTGTACAAACATAGATGTCTGCAATAAACTATCTAACCTTCCTAGTTGCCCAGAACTCAGATTCTGTCAAGACACCACTGATTACAAATTGCATATGAAGTTTCTGCAATTCACTGAGAAGAATAAAATTTAGTGATACAAAAACAGGAAGTATAAACACAGATTATGTCAGTTCTACACTGAAAATGCTACACCCAGAAGCAAACAATCTAGTAACAGGAATTATCAAGTTACACCAGTTCTCAAAACACAAATTAGAAGCGTTTTGGTGGACAATTACTGTCTAAATTTCCACCTAGAAAGCAAATGCAAACAAAAATAAAAAAAAAGCACACAATAGAAGGCAACATGATGGACAAAAAGAGTCACCTTCACTATTAAAGAGGGAAATGATAATAGCAAGGTGATTGCAAAACTATTTTCGACTTCAGATGTTCAGACACACACACAGCCACGCAGAACCAAAGGGGGTAAAGAAGTAAGAAGCGTGAGGCATATTTCACCTGCTGCCACATCAGCACTCCATAAAATAATTAGATGGAGTTTAGCTTTCGTCCTTCAACCGAAGCATAGGAGTACAATTTAACTTTTAAACTACCCAGTAGTGGAAATTAGACCTATAGGGACTAGCAATTTAGTTTGGCTTTGAATAAGTACCAGGAAATTATTGCAAATTCCTTGTACCAGAAAACGGATCGTGCAAAACACCATGGAGCAAAATTGTTTGGAAAAAAAGACAAAAAACAAGTATTTGAACTCAGCAATCTGAACTTGAAAAGAAGGGACAGGAAAACTTTAAAAGTGGAGGCCAATGGCCATCCAGGTTTGGTATTTCTATGGTATTAGTTGTACCATATCAATGCTTAGTATTTCTATGGTATATGCCTATAGAAAATATAAAATGTATTTTAAAAGTACATAGGAAAGAAAAACAGGCTTGAACTTGCAAAACCATGTATGAGTTGAAGGGTAGTGTGATCCTGATTCTTTCCTGCTCATCATATATTGGATTGAAAAAAAGTAAAACTGCATAATATAAAACATATCTATATAAGAAACAAAACAAAATAGCTTAAAGCTTTTCCATAGCAATACAGAATGGGAAATGCTGATGATTGCAACCTGATCATGCGGGTACAGGAGACTACAGTTACCTGTCTTCTTGTAATAGCTTCATCCGGAGCTGCATTTCTGCAGTACTGAGTTGTTCATCAGGCAATGTGACTCCAGATTTCTCAGAAGTCGTTTTTGCAGCAGAAGTAGGTTTTGCAGCAGAAGAAGCTTTTGCCGCCTCTCCAGACTTAGCAAGGGCATTGCCTATTTAAAGCATCAAATAACACAAACTAAGAGTAAATAATTAACCAATACAGCAACCAAGACAGAACAGTCAAAT